CCAGTCTACTATGTAACACATTGTGCTCAATGAAATCAAAGATTTGAGGAATAGTCAGCCGCAGAAGATAGCAGTTTGAATCCAACAACAAGGTCTTAAGGATATTAAAAGAAAAATCGCAAGCAAAAAATAAGTGATTATGGTTTTCAGTGTTGCAAAGGCAAAAAGAGCAATGAAGAAAAACCTGAATTCCCCTACACAGTAAATTATCAACCATTTTAAGTTTCCCAATAATTGCCATCCACGAAAAACAAGCATATTTAAGGGCATGTTTTTTGTGCCAAATGGAAGTATGCCACTCAACCTTCGACAAATCGGAATAAAAATGGGTAGTAAAATCTTTGAAAGCCATCTTTTGAGAGCCTTTCCACAGAAGCTCAGATTTTTCTTTTATCTCTAACTTAGAAATAGCATCATCTATAGCAATTGGAATAGAAATGGGAAGAGGCCATTTACCATTCACAATGAAATCTTTCACCAATTTGTCCCCAAACACCGGGATGTTACAGGCATCAGAAATCGCAGAACCATTCAGCCAAGGGTCCTAAAGCATAGAAAAAGTACTATCTTTTGCCACAGAAAATAAGATATTATCTTTGATCGTAATAGTAATAGCAGAATTTCTTTTTTCCAAAATTTAGAAGCATTGGGGGGAGGAAGTTTCCAAGGTGAAATATATTTAGCTTTATACTAGTCACTTAACAGATTATTGGAATTGAAAAATCTACCAATAATAGAGCAAAAAACTCCATGATAAAGAGCATCCACGGACAGAATACAAAGCCCACCAAGACAGTTAGGAAGAGTAACCTTAGACCAAGAAATAAGATGCAGTTTCCTCTCAGTAAGGTTGGTATGAAATAAGAATCTCGAACAGAGTTTGCTAATGGAAGCACAACATGCTTTAGGTATAATAGATCCCCTAATCCAATAAGCAATTGTATTAAAAATGATAAATTTGAGAAATTGGACCCTTCCTGCAAAAGAAAGAAATTTATTTTTCCAACCAACAAGTAGAGTAGAAACTCTGCTCAGAAGTGGTTGAAAGTGAGAAGTTTTAAGTCTTTTCGGGGAAATAGGAATTCCCAAATAGATGAAGAAATGGTTAATTTGATGAATGTCAAGCTCATCACAAATAAGTGCATCTCATGAACATTGTTGGAAAAGACTATGGAGCTTTTAGAAGCATTGATGTGAAGACCAAAAATATTACCATAGTGTTGTAAACATCTATTAAGACCAACAATATTTTCTTTTGAAGCCACTCCAAAAACCAATAAGTCATCAGCATACATCAAATGATTGATGTAATTATCTTTGAAAGTAACACCTTTAAAACTGTAGTTATTAGAAGTACTATTAAGAATATTGGAGAGCCCATCCATAACAATATAGAATAAAAGGGGAGAGAGAGGACACCCCTGACGGAGGCCAGAAGTGGAATTGAAGAACCCCTCCAGAGAACCATTCAAACACACTGAAAAATGCATATCCGAGATGTACCCTTTGATCCAAGAGTCAAAAACTTCAGAAAAGCCCTTCTGAAGAAACCTAGCAATTAGGAAGTCTCTAGATACAGAGTCAAAGACCTTTTTAATATCAAGTTTAGCACAAAAACTTTTATGGGAACCCTTGAAATCTCTAAGTATCTCAGAAGTCATAATAATATAATTCATCGAGCACCTATTAGCAATGAAGCCCGACTGACTATCATGAATAATGTAGGGAAGAGCAATTTTGAGTTTGTTAGCCATAATTTTAGCCACAATTTTGTAAAAAACATTACAAAGAGAAATAAGCCTAAAGTCATTAATGTTTGCAGCATGAGATCATTTAGGAATCAGAGTAATAGCAGAGTAGCAGTGGCCTTGACCCCTTTAGGAAGAGATCCAATAGAGAAAAAATTGCTAATAGCATTAAATACTTAAATACCAATAATATGCCAAGATTTCCTATAGAAAGCATAGGAAAAGCCATCAGGCCCCAGGGCAGAAGTCTCTTTACCATCAAAAACCGTATTTCTAACTTATTCAAGAGAGATAGGAGCCACTAACATGTTGTGTAGATGAGGAGGAACCTTCCTACCAGAAGGAATTTGAAGAGGAGTTTCTAAGGAAGTATGAGGGGTATTGTATAACCCCTTAAAGTGATTCACAATAGCCTTAGAAACATCAACATTAGCAGAAAAATGACCTTCATCCGTAGTTATCTCCTTAATGCAGTTCTTATTGTTTATGCTCCTAAGTTTGGCAAAAAGGAAGCCAAGATCTTCTTCACCATGATTAAGCCATAAGGCTTTAGCTCTTTGAGTTATCCAAGAGGTCCAATAAGATTGTAGAGAAGCAAGATTTTCATTTATGCTCTTTAAATTATGGTTAAGCTCTAGGTTTAAAGGCTAAGCTTGAATCTCAAGAAGACAATTATGCTGTTTGTGCTTGAGTTCAAGAATAGAATTAGAGAGAAAAGAAGAAGAAGCCCAGTTTCTATTCTTTAGAGACCTTTTGAGGCAATGTAGACTGTGATAAAAGGAGGAAATAGGACTTCTTGAAGTCCTAAAAGCAAAAGTAGAAACAACATCATCCCAAAAACCTTCCATGTCAATCCAATAATTCTTAAACATAAACATAACAGATATAGGTTTAGCATTAGAAAGAATGAAAATTAAGGGAGAATGATCCGAACCCAGAGTCGGATCAACTTTATAATAAGCAGTAGGCAAGTAATCCAGTAAAGCATGGTTGACCAAAACTCTATCAAGCTTAATATGGATAGGATTGTCCACCCTTTGATTGAACCAAGTGTAGAAAATACCCGTAGAAGAAAGATCTTGCACACCACAATTGAAAACTATATTGTTGAGCTCACCCAGTCTACTATCAAAAAGGCTAGAACCCCAGCTTTTTCAATCTAAGATCTACAGAAGTTAAAGTCACCAAGAATGACCCAAGGTTGATCCCGAGGAGGAGCTAAGTCAACCAATTGATTCCATAACCTTCTACGATCCTCCGAGTTATTAGAAGCATAAATCACAGAAAGATATATTTGAGGAAAAGAGCCTGCAGAAAGAACCCCATGGATTAGTTGCGGGGTGGTAAAAATTTGATTAAAAGAAAAGGCAGAAGTATCTCATTTTAGCCAGATTCTGCCAGGCTGAGAATCTCTAAAATTGTTACAGCTTCCCTCATTTCTCAAAGAGCAAATGAGAGTTCAAAAACAAAGGGTCTTATTCAGAAGACAAAGTGATTTTGGCTTCCAGAATACATAAAAGTTTTAGACCATGAGTTTTGATCAAAGACTTGCAGACACGAACCTTATCAGGGTTATTAAAACCCCTAACATTCCAACAAGCAAAGGTTGGCAAGGACATTAGGACTTTGGAGTTTTGGCCTTTTTGGCCGATTTTCCCTTAGGAGGTTTGGATTTAATGGGAGATTTACCTTTATCTGTAGAGGGTTTGGCTTTGTTTTTAATAGAAACATCATCTGATTTACTCGGGTCAGGTGCGTCCTCGATATTCCTATAGCAAGAAGAAGAGTCATTCTCCGAGCAGGAGTCCATAGCAATAGAAATGTTAATGTCTTCAGTTTGCAAAGAAGCAAATTTGTTGATCAAAGGAATTTTGGGGGCATTTAGGTTGTAGAGTGGTGCTAAAGAGTAAAAGAAGAGGTTTCTTCTGTGGGAGAATTAAGGTTCATGATAGGAGAAGATTTAATAGGGGGGGGATTGGGTTAGTCACAGGAGGTTCCCATGCAGAAGCAGGACCCGCCTGAGGGATGTCTGGGTTGAGAGCAGAGGTGGAGGGAAGATTGGTGTCAACATGAGAGGGCTTAGGAGGAGGTTTTTTGGAAGCTGATCTGTGGGGGTGGGTGTTGCGAGGCCTGGAAGAGCTTCTCCCTCGATTTTTTGGTGGTTGTGGAGAAAGAATGGGTTGAGGATTAGGATTTTTGGGACACAGAAAAAGGGTGAATCAAGGATCCGCACCCTTCACATCTATCAGGTTTCCAATCATATAAAACTTTCAAAACCATATCTTCACCATCAATCTCAAGCGGGATCTCATCAGGTAAAACAGAGTCTTTAGTGATAAGAACACATACCCGAGCAAATGTCAACCTGGTACGATTAGCAGTAAGGGAGTCAACAGAGGTCGGAATACCAACGTAGCTCGCGATTCTGGAGATGCCCGTGGGAGTCCAAAGAGCTAAAGAGAAATCCACAATTTTGATCCATAGCGGAATCGGAGCCGACTCATCTCTTTTGGGCTTAAATTTCAGAGACCAACACTGCAATATGAAGGGCTTCCCCAAAAGAAACCAGGGTCCGCCCGATAACACCATCTCCATGTCAGGTCTTCAGAGGTTGAAAACTTCAGGAGGAAGAAACCATCAGTCAAAGAAAGCAGCGCCATAAATCCTTTGATAATCCAGAGTTTTTGCATGGCTTTAAGCAACCTCTCATAGTACGATCGGGGACCCAGGGAGTATCCGATGAGGGAAGAGTTCCAGATGGATTTTCCTTCAGAAAGATCATTAGAGTTAAAGGAGAGCTTTTGACCCGGGGAGTAGAAAGATACCGGGAAGACAGTCGGTTTGGAAGCGGGAGCAGAAACACTGTCGACATAGGAGAGACCAACAGGGGAAGGACCAAGAACAAAGGAGTTGGGAAGAGGAGGGAAGTCGAGCTCCAAAGCCATCAGGGGAGGGAGGAGCCCTCCTGGACGGGGAGACGAAAGAGCGGCACAAGGCGGCGGAGAGGAAACCCTAGCATAGCTCACTCAAAAAACATCCTTGGCTCCTGTCTCTTCTTCTTTCTCATAAAAAAAAAATATAAGAGTTAATCAATTTATAGTTAGTTATAAAAAAAAAAAACAAAATTTTGACAACCTTATCTAATTTTTGTTACTGAGCTAAATATATATACATATGTTAAAAAAATAAAAATAAAATAAATAAATAACTATACAATTCGTCACGTGGACGGCAACAGACTCTCATCGGACGGCATGTGCCAGAAGATAGGCAGCAGGCCAAAAATAGCCGATTCGGCGGCTATTTGCCGAGTTGAAAATTCACAGTTTCCTCGGATGTATTTTTTGGGAGAATCCTCCGATGTATCAATGTTCCCCTTTTTTCGCTGACACTGTCGAAGAGAAAAAATGGATGTAAGAAGAGCTCGGATCCATTCCGATCTTTGGAGGAAGAGCTCCGCAGGTGTCTAACGCTTATTGACTAGGGTTTCTGGGCAAACGGAGGAGATCCGACCGCTTTGGATTGTGGTGGTTGCTTAATGTACGATTTTGGCTGCAAGAGACGGGCTTTCAAGGAAGGTGGCTTGTTGGCTTGACAGTTTTTGGCTAAGGTAATGATTGAGATATTCTTTTGTGGAGGCTGAGGAAATTAGAATTTCTGTTGGTTGAATGGTTGCATGGGTTTCTAGGGTTTTTGCGGTGTTTGCTGGATAGAAAATGTTCTATTCTCAGTTTATATTGGCTAAGAAAGGGCCTTTGGGAACGATATGGATCGCTGCTCATCTCGAGAGGAAGTTGAGGAAGAACCAGGTTGCGGATACTGATATCGGCTTATCTGTAGGTTGGTTTCTTTCTGTTCCATCAGCTTCTCTGTTTGCTTTGTGGTGAATGTTCAAGGACGTTTATATTATTTTTTGATATTTTTTTGCTCTAGATACTGTAGCTTAGAGGTTCTCGGTGGCAGAGTTTAAGAATGAGTTTAATTTATGGTGTTTACAATATTTGGTGAGCTCTTGGGAAGCAATTAGTGGAAGTTATGAATTTGTGCTTCATGATGTGGTTGATCATAGTGTTTTCAAAGTGCAAGGCGAAATGTTATGCACATGGTCTTATTTTATACTTCTATGTTTGTGTTCTCGAAGCTCAATCCAATGCACAAGGTGTCATGTTTGCTTGATGCTCATAATGCAAAGCGAAGCTTTTGTTAACAAAAATGGTTATGATTTTTTTATATTTTCTTAAAATAAAATATAGAAAATCTTTTAAAATACTTATTTAGCAAGTCCAAAGGGTGTTAAATACTGAAAATTGTTTGGTGTGAGATTTTAATTAAATTTGGTTTAATCTTGACAAACTTTTTGGCCATTTGTTTCAAGTCTTTATGATTTAAAATTTCTGGTATCTATGCTAAGCTGTGTCATTAAGTTTGAACAGATTTGAAATATCACCAAAAAAAAGTTTCTCAAATGTTAATCAATATGAATTGATATTATTCTATAAACAATAACTTCTGTATTATTACATTAGCAGCAATATGTTTAATAGAAAAACAAGAAAAGCTCCCCTTGCAGTTCTATAGATGGAATACTCTATCAGTTCGAAGGAGGCATTAGTAAGCAACATTAATAAGATAAGAAATAATGATTTAGGTTCAAGCCAAGTATGGAGTAGTAGCAAGGTACTCAATTCAACATCATTGAAGCAAGTTTTCCTTCACAAACAACCACATCGCTAACAACAATAGGGAAAGAAAAGAACAAATTTATCTACACTAGCTATCAAAATTCAGAAGAGGGTCAACTAGTGAAGATCTAGTGACCTTGACAGTGAATGAAGAAGAAGTTTACTACCAGTGGAAGGCGAATACCATATATAGCAAAACCTCTCCATGAGAGGAAGGACGAAGAAGATTCACATGGCGAGAGAAGGAGGGACTTATGACACTAGGATAAAAAACATCAAAGAAGAAGTGTGATTAAGCATAAATCCTTTAAATCCCACAACCAGCAGGATTTGGTAAATCACATTAAATACCAAAAATCCTGATTTAAGAAGATACGAGAATTGTAAAAAACTATTCTTTGGGATTTCGATTAAATCTCACCTTAATTTTTCTATCAACCAACTCCATAGTATATGGCATCTGTAAAAGAATTATGTAGTGCATGCCTAATTTGAGGATCACATTCATAACTCAACTAAAAAAACCCTAACATTTTCCGCTAAGCATAAAAATGAATTAATTGCAAATTTTTTCTAATAAAATTGGACAAAGTGTAGAGTTGAAAGACTACATTTAAATACTAAAAACTATGGAATGGAGATACTCAAAAGGTAACATTAATGTGCATTATAGCAAGGAATTTGGAGTTTAAAATTCATACCTAATATGAATGGAATGAAAAATGCTCAAATCTTCTATTTTTTCATTTTTGATAACAATATAATTATAAATAATAGCAAAGTATGCCCCAACGAATCAATCAACATTAATAAATAATTTTAATTGAACATCATATGCTAAATATCTTAAAATGCACCTAATATAGTTTACTTATGCTTTGATTAAAATCTATAATTTCAGAGTAATTTATAAATTTTTTTATATGTTGAAATCATTAGCATCAATCATTTTATTAGTTACTAGTTAGGCTTTCTATAAGAAAACTAATATACAAGCCTAACTTAAACAACATTTTAAAACTCAAATCATATTCAAGCTTGACTCAAACTCAAAGAAACTAAATGAATGAGCTTGAATAAGGCAGTACTAGGCTTGATTTTTTTTCATTTGCAAACCTAGAAACATGCATTATTTTACCAAATATTGAGAATCTTTGTGTGGAGCCTTTGTAGTGATACCAGAAAGAGGCTCATTGGGCTCATGTCTTTGCTCATTTGGAATGGCCACATTTGATCTCTGTTCATGAGTTGCCGGGGGGTGGATGTGGCAAGTATGTATTTGAGGTATATTCCTCATGATTGGGACTTGAGCACATCAATATTAATCCTTTGTGTAGTAGACAACATTTGAGAATTGAATAAGAACTTCACCACCCAATTGCTACATGAAGGAAAACTAGTGTTTAGAAATCTAATTTTGATGGATCATCGTACACGTTCAAAATATCAAATTATAAGAGTATATGCTATTTATATGAAAGTACAGACTCCAATAAATAATTGCAATGCCGTGGAATCAGCACTTGAGAAAACTGGACAATACTTAGTCCTTCATGAGTTAATATGTATAAACTTGCCTGATATATTTTAGATTCTCGATACCATATAAGGAGGCTAAAAAGTTTAACATGGGATTGGGAGAAGTTTTTCTTTTTTATTTCTTTTTTAGGAATACTACTTAAAACTTTTATCCTTAAGTGAGAAGCAACTATTATATTGGGCACAACTATAAAGAATTGATATGGCTAGTCAAAGTGAAAATAGAAACCTTTCCCAATCTTGTCGTTTTTATGTGGGCTCTTAAAATCCTAGTCAGTCTCAATTTAAATGTTATATATTCGCTTTAGTTGGTATTGATGTCTATTATACAAGCACGGGGGGTGGATGTGGCAAGCATGTTCTTGAGGTATAGCCCTCATGATTGAGACTTGAGGACATTAACATTAATCCTTTGTGTGGTACGCAATATTTGAGATTTGAATGAGAGCTCCTCTACCCAATTGTTGCATGAATGAAAGATATTGATTAGAAATCTAATTTTGATGGTTCATCCTACACTTTCAAAATGTCAAATGATGAGCATATCCTATTTCTACGAAAGAGCAGATTCTAAAAAATTATTGTAATGCTATGGAATCAACATTTAAGGAAACTGGTCAATGCTCAGTGCTTCATGAGCTAATATTTATAAGCTTGCAGGATATATTTTAGATTATCGATATCATATAAGAAAACTGAAAATTTTAACATATTATCGAGAGAAATTTTGCTTTTTTAATTTCTTTTTTGGAATGCTAATTAAAACTTGTGTTCCTAAGGGACAAGCAACTATTATACAGGGCATAAATATAAAGGTTTGACATGGCTAGTCAACGTAGAAATAGAAGCCTTTCCAAGTAGTGTCGCTTGAATCATGTGGGCTCTAAAATCCTAGCTAGTTTATGTTTAAATGTTATATATTCTTTTGAGTTGGTATTGATTTTTTTTAGAAGGCAGATTGGATTTTTACATAAAAAAATATTTGAAAATTATGTCCGTAATGAGGACTTCATGATTTGATTCAAGGTTTTCATATGTGCAGATCCGTTTTGTTAATTATCTCCCTTGATCATGAGAGAGCACTATCAATAAATGCTAGTTGATAGATTTTATGACGCTTTTTATATAGTCGTAGCAGTTTGGTTCAGGAAAAAGAATATGCCATTTACTAGCTTATATTGAATGGTGGGGGATGGTAATAAACAAATCAATAGAGGGTTTTCATGTTTTCATCATCATAGTTCGTCTTGGGCCAGGGTCTATTTAGTTAATCGAGATAGTTGGCAAAAATGCAATGAAGAATCAGGCCTAATGATTAAGGCGTCATTTGGGATGGCTTTCTTACTGCTTCTTATTAGTAGTTTTTTTAGTAAATTTTTGTACTAGAAAGCTGCTTTAAGAAGCATTAAAAAAGCCGTTTCAAACGAGGCGTGAGACTTATGACCCCACTCTATAGATAGGGTGGCCTGTAGAGCTTATCTTTTTACAATTTGGATCATTGCTAGATTCAAATTCTATCAACCCCACTCCTTACATGTGGATTATAGGGCTGGAGTGAAACCCATATTTTCTCAGTGCTTGTTCAATTAATTTGGATTTTTGGTCTATTATTCCAATTTCTTGAGCGAGATTATGGGGTCACATGCCCCGATATGAGTATGAGATGGTTTTATAGAATTTTCTTGATATGTTCCATATTTTTATATTTTCTCGACTTTTTCCCTTTGCTCATTTTTTGTAATTTTTATTCAAAAATATAATAAAACAATAGAAGTATTTCTCATTCTCTTTACTCGTTCGAGTGTATGCGAGGCTTGTTCAAAATAGTGAATTAATTTGCTTGCTTTTTAAAGAAATTGTGCACTTTGTGGATTATCCTTTTTTAGATTTCCCTCAAAAAGTGCGTACAAATTTTATGAAGTTACTTTGATTTCAATTTTCATACTCTCCTTAGTACATACAAATATTTATTGAAATACGTGCATTATTTTTCATTTTGGGCAGTCGGCATGTGTTTTGGCATGTGCACGTGCCTTTTAGAGTGCACATATGACTTTTTTAACCTCAATTTAAATTTGATATGACATTTTTAAGCTCATCCATCTTTAAAAATTATTTGGTTTCAAAATTTTGTGCAATTGTTGCCTTGTTGGTGGCACCACAATCGTTAATACGTGTACATAGTTTCACATTCATGCATGTTCAGTTGCAATTCATCCACTTGCATGACTTTTGGAGAACAATTGCATGCTTTTGGTGCACAATGATAGGTGCATTTTTGTTCACTTATAAGCTTATCAAATACATCATAACATAAGGTTTTGGTGAGTACTTGAAATGATACCATTTTATTAATATTTTATTTTTTTCTATGCCTGGGTTCGTCCTGCAGGAGAAGAATTCACGCTTATAAATAGGGTGCCTTATATGTATTTTTCAAATCCCAACTAAGTTCATATCATTTAAGAAAGGCAACGAGGCTCATTTGTGAGTCGTTGAAGTCATGTAAGTCCATTTAGCTCATTTGGTTTATTTATATGACTTTTGGTGCATTTTTACTGTCATTTGTCTTTTTTTTGAACTTTTCCCACATTCTTTTTAATTTTTAAGAGAAGTGCT